CGCGGGTGGGGGTCCATACACTAACTGCATTCCTTGCAGAGGATTCAGACCCCCATGAAAAAAAGTGCGATCTTTTGGGTGGATACTCGCAAACTCGTATATAATAAAATCAAATAGTATCTATTTGCAAACCGGACCAACTTCGACTCAAGTGTAACTGGACTTATGTCTACTTTCTTAATATTAGTGTAAATTGAAATTATCGACCTTTTTGTCGACTTGAAATTACACAAGTTTTAAAAAAAATCCTTTAACCTCCTAAACCAATGTGTTTCAAGGCTAGAAAATCGTGTTTGGTTAATGCCATTCAGAAAAAGAAGTCAGCATCAAGGGACGTAACTCTTGTTCTTATGATGTTTAGAACAGTTTAAAAAAAAGAGGCCAAAAAATGATCACTCAGAGTTGAAAAATACGAATATTTATCATTAAATTTCGAATAACCTAATTGTAAATAAGCTTTTAATTATGCATTCGAAATATGACAATAAAAATTAGTAGAAATAGAATTCATAATTACTTAAATTTAGGTTCTTTTTTTTCTGTTTATAAAGCAAACTACATTTAGATTTTTTCAGGGTTGTTATCATCAGAAAAGAAAACATAGAAAAAGAAATCCGATAAAGAAAGATTTATAATTTTTTTTTTTTTACCTCTTTAAATAAATATGACGTTAATAGTGGGAAACAACTTGCAGGAAAAAATACATATTTTGAATCGTTAATCATATTATCCAATTCAAAGAGCATAATCTATCTAAAGATAGCCAGACAATTAGAAGACTATTTGAAACATTTGAATAACAATGTTGACAACAGAAAACGCTTTTGCTATTTTTAAAATTCTGATTTTTTTAATGCTGAATATTTTTGATTTAAGTAAACTCCGCCTGGAGAACAGAATATTTAAATGCATTTGTTAAAAAAAAAAAAAGGTTCTTTCAACCCAACTAGGCAGGAATAAATAAACCTTAAATACATTCATAAAGACAAATTAAAAAAAAATATGTATTATGAATTACTAATGATTTTTATCCTATTCAAAAAGCCTAACTCATTTGAAAGAGGCAGAACAATTAAAAATCGGCTGCAACCTTCGGATTCATTTTGCAGACAGTAAGAATTCGGTTCTCATATAAATCTATTTCTAAATAGATTTTTTTCTTTTTAACAAAACCCAGTTGAAAATCAAAGGTTGCTTCAATGTAATTCTTAAAGATTGTTTTATTATATTTTCGGTTAAAACTAAAAAAAAATAAAAATCTATATTGTGCCTATCATTAAACGGGAATAATTTCGTTCGATTTTAAAAGCCTGAGCTTTTATATGAAGACAGAAGACAGAAAAGGCTTAAAACTTTTGAGTTGTAATGAGGTTTTTTTTAAAAGCTGCGTCTAAAATCTTTTTTTTTTTTTTTGAGAAATTATTGCGTAATTTTCTATCCTTATTCTTTAATGAATATCATTTGAGATCTTACATACGTTGGTTTATTGAAAAAGTCTCTGTCTGACTAATCTCTAATCCACAAAAAAAAAAAAAATAGAAGCTTTTGTCATCAGGTCAGATTTTGGAAAATGTGTCGAGTCGAGAACCTTTTAACACACACATTTAATTTTATCATATAGACAAAAACAGTTTACTCACTACAAAGATGCAACTTCGTTTTGGTGCATTTCAACTGCACCTCGACGGGGGACAACTGAAAATGGTGTAGTGACTAAACTGTTTTTGTCTATATGATAAAATTATAATAAATAATTATCGCTCTACTATCGGTATCGAGCCCTCTTTTGGTTTAATGCTGTGAACGTTAGAATTTATATATTACTTTCATTCTCATTGCATATATATATATATATATATATATATATATATATATATATATATATACATAAACATAAACAAACACTAAAAAATCGTACACGTTAAAAAAAAAAAAGTGTTCAATTTCAAGAAAGAAAAAAAATCGGACCTGTAAAGCGATTTAATATCTTAAAAAGATAACATGCTGACCGGAACACTTCTGCGGTTTCGGCCGTCAGGGTCTCGTCAGGTGGTTTATTCAGTCCTTTTTCTGACGAGAACTCGGCGGTCGAAGCCACGGTAGTGTTGCCCTCAGCATTTTATCTTTTTAAGATAAAATATATATATATATATATATATATAAAGACTTGATACCACGGAACAAATATAGTGACTTGAAAAGGCACATAGAAACTTTAGAAACTTTACAACAGTCACTAATTCCAGGACAACCCAACCGGTACATGACTCAGCAATAGGTCAGTACCTGTTATACAACCCTGATTGTGCTGATAAGTGTAAGGACAATTTTTTTCACTATTCTACACAGGGCCCGTTCCGCTCACCATTTAAAGATTCTTGAGGCAGTTTACCTTAAAATGCACAAACCAGGCCTGTGTAAGCAAAAAGAGCATTTTATTCGCTCATTACGTTGAATTGGAGGATGGGAATAACATTTTATCTTTTTAGTACTCACTTGGAACATTTACTTATTTTATTCGTGAATTATTTTACTAATGAATTGTTTTTATTAACTAAATTTCTTCTCTACTTTACTATTTTGCTTTTTCGTAAACATTGTCTCTTGTCTCATCTCATTTATACCAACGGTTTCCTTCTGAAGAATAATGCCTATGTGCCTTTTCAAGCCAGTATATATATATATATATATATATATATATATATATATATATATATATATATATATGTGTGTGTGTGTGTGTGTGTGTGTACGATGAAATATACATCAAATATCTGGTCATTTTCGTATCCTAACGTAAACAATGAAATTTGTGAAGAAAGAATGTTTTGATTTTTTTTTTTTATTTATTAATTCGACAGATTTTAAATTACTTATATTTTAAGTAATAAAAACCGCCGGATTAATAAATAAATAAAACCATTCCTTTCTTCACAAATTGCTTTTTGTACGTTAGGATGCGAAACTGAGCCGATATGTCTGTTTAAATTCACTATTCACTGTGGTAATCGACGCCTCTGTAGCACATCAGATCTAATGACGGTTTTCCCTAAGGGAACGCCGATTCAAATTCTGACGGAGATCGCATATTTTAAGATTTCTCTAATATTCAAGCCGCTAGACGAAAATAAATAAATATACTGTTTAATAAATAAACAGAGCGTCTACTCAAATACAAGTATCCACTAAAAAATGACGTTTAAATAATATATATATATATATATATATATATATATATAATAACGTGATATATATATATATATATATATATATATATATATATATATATATATATGAAGAAATATAGTTTTAAGGTATGCTATATTTGTGGGATAAAATGTTCAATATCAGCGATAGAGCGTGTGTAACTATAAATAATAAGTGAACATTGAAGTCAACACTCAGAGGCGACAGGCCGCCTGACGATTTCGTCTTGCATGAAACAGCCTGTCGCCTCTGAGTATTGACTTCAATGTTCACTTATATATAAACGATTAAGTAATATATAATTTTAAGTTATGATATATTTATGGGTAAAACTATTCAATATCAGATATAGAGAGTATGTAAATACAAAATATAAAAGTGGACAGTGAGGTCAACACCAAGCAGCATGAAACAGTGTTTCATGCAGCTTGGTGTTGACCTCAACTGCCCACATGTTAAATATAACCTCAATCAAACTCTCTCTCTCTATATATATATATATATATATATATATATATATATATATATATATATATATATAGAGAGAGAGAGAGAGAGAGAGAGACAGACAGACAGACAGACCTACCAAGCCTTCCCTGACGATCCGCTTAGTTGAAACCTTGGTAAGTTTGTCTGACTCTCTAGGTTTAACTAGGTCTGCTCTACTTACTGTATCGAGCATTTTTTTTTTTATAGTTATCTTGCCTACTACGTATCGGTTTTTTTTTTCTTTGGGCTCCCGACTTGCATGCTTGACGATTATTTTCGGCTAACGTACATGTTCCTGGTTCTTTCTATTTTTATACCTTTTTTTCACCTTTGGTATTGGCTTGATTATTTGCAAATCAAAACACTGAAGGTTTTCCGAACGAATATAATTTCTTATACTTATAAGATTACTACTACTAATGATAATAATAATAATAATTATTATATATATATATATATATATATATATATGACTCATTTTTACCAAATACAAGTGCTGTCTGAAATAATCATTCCTGTAGAAATATTTCAGTTTATAAAATAAACGTGCCGGTTTAAATAAATTTTTATGTAACTTCAATAAATGTGGAATCGATTGAGGAATTGGAAAGCCAAGTTCGAATTCCAATCGTGTCCATTACATTCACTTACGTGCTAATACCCTTGGGAAAGGTATATATTCTTTTCTTCTAGCTATAGGCAAATAGCAGGACAGACCGGGTTATATAGCCTTGGATGGCAACTGGTCAACCGCAGAAAGAAATGGCAACCTACTGCGGAAAAAATCTGCCTCGTCAGTCATATATCGAAAGATACATGATCGCCTAAGCGTGTATCACGCATGGCACATAATTGAAACGTGGACTAAAATAATCGTGCCGCGGAGAAAAATATTTGTCAAACAATAAGCGTGCCGACCCAAAGAAGCACCGAGCCGTTGGAGGGGAGGTATTGAAGGAAATAATTTAATCGTCCCGGAACTTGTATTTGGTATACAAGAAGACTTTTGCGCGATTTCGAAAGACGGCGAGGTCTGCCAAAAGTGGCAGTGGAACAGAAGAAATATTTAAGACAAAGTTGATTAAATAATTGTTTGAGGAAAAACAGATCTGTTTTGTTTTGTTTTTTTTATTTCTTTTTCTTTTATTTTCTATGCAGTCCTTCACCCCTACTCACGTCCATTTTTCTCTATTTTTTAAGCAAACATAAGCAAAAGATTTCGCAGAGGAGAAGCAGACAGAACAGGAATTGAAATATAAGCGAAAACCCGCCAAGACAATGGCGGGAAGAAAAGATAGCAGACGATGAGAAAATCCGGGCGAGAAGATGACAGTAGGGCTAGAGGTTGGGAGATTTGGACGAAACAGAAGCAAATCACTTTGGATTAATATTCGCTATGACGCAGAGGTCTTCATAGATAAAGCCGATCATCATTTGTTAAGTCGTTGTTAACCAATTCTATTTCCTCAGAGATCGACCGCCATCATCATTATTTCCTCTGCCACAAACCCAACCACAGTCTCAAAACGACGACACTCATTCATTCTAGTTTTCTCCTTGTTGACAGTTACTTTTCTTTCAGTTTTGAGACAGTTTCCTTATTTCCTTTCTTTCTCTTAATATTACGTCTGTCTTTTTTCTTTCACATTCTTTTTCTTTACTTTTTTACTTGTCATATTTTTTTTCTTTCTTATTTCAATTTATTATTCTTTCTTTCTTTCTTTCTTTCTTTCCTATCTTCACTCTTCAATTTAATCTTTATTTATTTTGTCCAGTTTTTCTTCCAATGTTCGTTCTTTACGCTTTGGATTGTTTTTTCTTTTTTTTTTTTTTTTGTATTCTTTCGTTATTTCTAATTTCTTACTTAATCATTTGTTCGAAGCTTTCACTTTCATTCTTTATTATAATTTTACTACCTTTTTTTTCTCTTTTATATTCCTTCACTCTTCAGTTTTTTTTTTTTTTTTGGGGGGGGTGGATTTTAATTTTCATGCCATCTTGTTCACTTCTTTATTGTATTTTCAAATTTCACTTTTTTCCATTTTCTACTTCTTTCATTTCTTAATTATTCTAATTTTTCTTCTTTCTTATTTTCGCATTTTGTCTACTATTTTTCTTAATTTCTGGTCTATTTCTGAATTTAATTCTTATATTTTAAAGCTTTATTTCCTTCTGTTATTTTTCGATTCTTTTCATTCTATTTTTTTCTTTTATATTTCTCTGTTTTGTTTCCTTTTTCATTCTAGAATTTTTTTCTTTTTGACTGTACCACGAGTTTTTGTTTCCTTTCTTTATTCTTCTTCTCGTCTGATGCACACCCTCTTTTTGCTTCTTTCTTTCTGCTTTCATTCATTTTTCTTATTCTCTTCTTCGTTATTTTCTTGATTTCTTTTGTTTCTCTTTTTTTTTTTCTAGAAATGCTTCTAGTTTCTTTAGTCTTTCTTGCTTCTTGATCATACATCCTTCCTTCATTCCTTTCTTTCTTTCCTCTTTACTCCTGTTTTAACTTTTTTTCTTTCTTTCTTTTCTCCTTATTTCTTTCACTTTGCTCTTTCTTTTAATCGCTGCAACCTTCTCATCCAAAATGCCCCTTATAAAAGAATAATTTAATTAGAAGATCAAATATACTGCTCATGGCTTCAAGATGGTTCCAGCTGTAGTGTACCATACAACATCAGCAACAACAAACTGGAGCAGGTCAATCGAAAGACAACGAATAGAAAGAGAACAACAAAACAGAACAAATTGAGTTAATTCTCGAAATACAAAAGTATTAATTACACTGCATTTCAATTTATTTGTGACATCGGGGAAAAATGAAGCTAAGTCACACATGATTCAGTTTGACATGAACCTTCAAGTACCGTCTGACATGTTGAGTCTATATGATTGGGAAATAAAACGTGCCTGAGACTCAAGTGAGGAGTATTAGTAAGTATTTGATAATTTAACCAAGTGCTGAAGAGAAAACAACGAAACTGTTTAACGAAGTATGTTTTCTTTATTAAACATTTTTTGCCAGAAAAAAATATTAGAAGAAACAAAAAAAAAAAAAAGAATCGAAGAAAAATATTCTTTTGTTTTGTAATTTAAGACAAAAGCAAAGGTAAGACTTTTTTTTTCTTTTTTAATGTAAAGTGAACACATGGACATTTATACTCTGATTCACGTATTGAGACGATCAGCTTTTAAAACCTTAACAATAACAGCTGTCAATGCTTTTTACCAAAAGAAGCGAACTGACACCATTTTAATGATTTTATTATTAATTACAGGTAACATAACATCATCTTTCCTTCTCAGATAACAACCCAGAGAAGACGTCATTGAATCAGTATACCCGAAATATCGTCATTCGTCATTTTGCTTGGTTCATGTAACAAAAAATAAGACACAATTGTCCTAAATTATCTGTGACTGGAGAGACGCTTCTGAAACACATCAAGTCATGTTTTCATCAAGAAAGTGTACTGATTTATCTACGGATATAAACAACAAAATCTAAACAATAAAACTGAATATGGTATTGATAGATTGCACAATCTAAGAGCAAAGGTTAGCGAACAGATCGCGTATATCATTCGACCGTGTTATGACATAGATCCACATTCGGTACTCTTTTACTTCAGCCTTGTACCAGACTAAACTAACCGAAGTTAATATATGACACTTACTGCAAGTACTGTCTCTGTGTGTGTGTGTGTGTGTGTGTGTGTGTAGTAGGGATGTGCATTTGCATCTGTGAGTACATGTTATTATACTCCTGTGTACCAAATACAAGTGCCTATCCGATTAAACTGTTTTGTTGAATTCCGCCATGACGCTTATTTGGCACGGCACATAATTCATTTCCAAATAAACTTATCTGCAGCAGAATTATTTCGTTCCATCCTTATTAAACTTACATTAAAATTTCCGACGGAACGTTTATTTAAACCGGCACACTTATTTTCTAAATTAAAAAATTCCCACAGGCATGACTATTCCAGACAGCACTTATATTTAATACAACTGATTGATTCATTTGTTTTTTTTAACGGCTTATCAACACTTCGTGAGTTACTTAAAGTCGAAACATATTGGATTGTCAGAAAATTGCATGAACAATTTTTTGAGAATATCAATTATTATTTTCCAGATAAAAGTCCTAATATTTAACCCATGGCTGCTGGGGAATGAGATAGATTCATACCAAGGGTAGGTTAATGCAATGAACCCGACTGGAATTCGATTTCTGCTCTCCAATTTCTCACTCCAATCCGCTATTCATTAAACTATCCACGGATCACAATAGACGCTGTGTAAGTAACAACACCTGGCTAAAGATGCGACGTGACTAGAGGAGCAGCTGGAGGTAAGAGATTGAGCGGGAAGAAAGAAAGAAAGAAAAAAAAAGAAAGAAAGAAAAAAAAAAGAAAGAAAGAAAAGAAGGGACAACAGTGAACTGTTCGTATAGATATGGTAGACAAATACAGGGGTTGTATAAACTGAATATACATTTGAAGAATTTCAGCAAATTTAATATTCACACACATAACAAGCATTATTAACTTTATTTAACTATTAGCACTTAATGTGACTAGTTGATTTTCCGACTGTCTTCCGATGTCACGAGCTGAAATCGGACGGAACATTAACTCGTAGGTTAGTTGGAAAAAAAAACAAGGTAAATATAGACATAGGTAGAAAAAAAAATAATGTCAAACTTGCATTTTCGTGTCTGCAAAAAACAGAGGGTCAAAAGGACGGTTTTTTTCCGTTGACACCGCTATTTTTTCAACTACCTTCCATCTTCGGCAATGGTTATTGTTTTAAAAAGCAATGATTAGAATTGTAATAAAACCTAAACATATGATGAAAGTGAATTTAAACATTTTTTTTTATTAAACACTATTTATTTGATGGTTTATTGGAATGCTCGGCAAAAAACACTGGTTAATTGACCCTTCGAAATCGAAACTAATGTTATAATGAAAAACGTTATCATTATGTTTTTAGGAATAGTAATCGCCCTTAAAATTTCGTCTAGACTGATCGCTTAAATTTACTCTCGAAAACGATAACGATACAATTTTACTCTACTCTATTATTGCTGATTTTCACTATTCTCATTTTTGCTCTGTTGCATCTTATTAATGTTGCTTTTGACATGAAGCCAATAATACTCACCGCTTAATATTATCATGTAGGTTTCTAAGCCAAAAAGCGTAAGTGGGTCCAGCTAAAAAGTGTTATGAATTAGACACTTATCCTAGGTATAACAAAAACTAAAGATTTTGCATATAAACAAAAACAGAATAACAGTACAGACTCTAAGTTAGAAAAAAAAAAAGAAAGAAAAAAAGAGCAAATGCGACACTTTTTTTAATCAATTCATCCCAAGCGATGCGACAATGCCATTTAAGATACAAGTGGTTACTAAGAGTAAAAGAGAATGAGAAGATTTTAGAAGGAAACAGAAAACCAATCCTAAACAGAGGAAACAAGAGATAAACCTCTACTCCTGTTCAAAGAGAGGACGAGAGATTTGTCCATAGTCCAATTAATAAAAAATAAAGGGGAGTTTGAAAAGTTTTCGACCCGACCAAGAAAGAATTCGAAAGAAAATTTCTTTTGCGTGATCTGTTGATCCAATTTTGCGAAATGAGACTGATAACTTTTCAGCACTTCCTTGTAGTAACATTCAGTTGGATACAAAGTGGGGGATCGCTTTTATTTTGTTAGTCGTAAACTGACCCCTTCCCAAGAAATTATCTATACCAAGGAGTATGACAAGTTCTCAGGAAGACCAAGAAGAGATTCAAAAAGAAAAAAACAAACAAACTGATATTTGGTTCAATTTTCGGAAGTGGATCAGGCCGATAACTTTTCAGCACGACCTCGGATACAGCTATGGTGGAAATTGTAATTATTACCTATGTAATTTGAGAATTTCCGTGTCTATTTATTTATTTATTTTTTTAAGGACATATTTCGTCCGTTTTTACCCCCACTTTATTCCTAAACACTTTTACCCCTACTATTTTTCCCTTTTTCACCCACGGGAAAACGACCGGATTTATTTGTTTTCTTTCCATTTTTTTTGTCTATCTCCACCCGCTTTCCCCAACCACGTTGTCCATTGCTTTCTATCAGGAAAAGAATTACTGATATTGACCTTATCTTCGTCAGATGGTAATAATTCTCGGGCTAGCTCAGTTCACTTCATCTAACAACACAAGTGTTTGGGTCGACAGCACCGCATGTGCATGTTAGTGATTTACTGTCCTTTGTAGGAATCACATCGGAGGAGCTTTCCCTGCTGCAGTCATCGCTCCTCTCTGCAAAGAAAGGAGGTATAACCCTGAGTTCGGTCCTTAAAAAAGAAGAGAGAAGGAGGAGAAGAGACAGTAAATTATCCGCTGAGGTCTACATATATTTCTTTCCTTCTCTCGGCCCCGTTCCAACTACGACGTCACGACAACTGGGAGTCGCGTTTTAACTTCTTTTCATTCTTCGATTTTAGAAACTCCACTGCACATTCCACTTAGAATTTATTTTCATTCAATATTTACTTCTTGATGTGGGTGATCATAACAGTGATAGATAGACACTTGTACGACATGAATGCCACTCTTGCAACATCAACTACAAAGATCCAGGGATAAGACTGCTCAAGATGACTGATGGATAGCTTCAGACGCAGGTATTTTTTAATTCAGAGTCGGCCTATTTAACCCATAGCTGGGGAGAGAAAAGATCGATTCATGTCTTTCGCAAGGGTATTTATGTGAAAGTGAATGTAATGAACTTGACTGGAATTCAAAATCTGCACGCTGATTCTGCATTCTGAGCTGCTAACCATTACACCACCTACACACCCATCCATCCACACATGTGCATGATATATCTATACACACTTTATAATGTATAAAAATTTCAATATTTTTTTATCCCCCCCCCCCAAGGATATAACAGATTTGATGTATGTGGATAAAACTTTAACTAAAACCACTGGTTCCCAAACGCTGAAGAAGCGACAAGGTATTCCAAGACGTAACTGAAAAGGACATTGATTGCTAATTTTAATACAAAAAGACATTTTTTTTTTTTCTTTCCAATTTGCTTTATCAAAAATGAGAAAGGACATTGTCTTTTTCCCATGATTTTTTATTTGCCATTGTAGAAAAACACTGGAAAATCATGGCAAGGTTTTTTTTGTTTTTTTTGTGGACATTGTACTTTTATTGATCCTAAGGTAGAAAATCATACATAGCTCCCCATCTTTTTAAATGTCAGTGCTTGATTTGTTAACACGGTACCTGTATACACACCCACACAAACATTTCAAAATATTTGAAGTCTTGTACATGTATATTTATTTTTATGTCAATGTTACATACCCATTTCATAGATATATACCTTTAGGAAAATGTTACATATCCATTTCAACAAACACATATGACTCCCTGCACATCTATCATAATTCAGTGACAAGTATACTCAAGAATACTGGTGATGGATTCAGTCAGAAATTTTTAACTGAGAGCTCTCCTTCTCCTACACTACTTGCCAGCCAAGGCTAAAGAGACCATAATGCTCTATTATTTAACCAGTAACTGGGGAGAAGAGATTCATACCTTTCTTGCACTTGTACATGCACAGAAGTGAGTTTATAGAACGCGACATCTATCAGAGGGATGAAATTTAAATTTTTATTATTGCATTATTCCAAAATTTTAACACATCAGTAGATAGCTATTAATGTCAAAAACTGAGCACAAACAGTTATTAATGAAAAAATTAGTAATTCATGGATAATATTATCCATAATTACATGTACAAGAATATCATTTTTTTTTTATAAAAGTTAAAAAATAACCATAAATACGTAAAAAATATATTTATTGTGGAAAATTCCTTTTCTACAATATAGCTATTTGTGTCATGTTATTGTTGTTTGTTACCTAGGGAAGGTTAATGAACAAAATCACACGAAGGTTGGTAATGAACGATAATACTTAGGATATGAACAACACATATAAGATTTGCCAGCGGCGAGTAGAAAAAGTAGTCAACTGCGAAAAGTGAGTCAAGTGAATTCCACAATGAATCTCCAACTGCAGGATATCTACCAACCACCTCACGCGGTCATATGTGGCACAAGGCCGAATTTAATGTGGGGTATCCGAGCCCGTAGGCTCGACCAAAAATTCCCCGTAGACGTAAAAACGGGGCCGGATAGCTGTTTCTCGAGACGAGACTTTGCCCTGCGACATAGCTTCGTCTGGGAATCCTCTCTGCCATAGCTGGAGACGAATCCCCAACTGCAGACCAACATACAGTATTTACTACTCTATTTGTGTGAATTGGGGACATACCCATTATCGTCTGCAGATATCCTACAACAGTTATAATGCTTATTACCTAAACAATAATATGATTTTTTTTTTTAAACATTAAAATATATCTAATCACATCTCCCTAATAACTGTGGCGATCTGTTAACGAACTCAACTGAAATTCAAATACGGCTCTCCAGGACTTACTATCCTATGTATCTCTTACTAAGGTTTGTGTTTTGACTGTCTCTCCTAAAGTCTATTTTCTGTGGCGTACCCTCTCACGACGACAGCAATCATGGCTCTCCACAACTTTCTGTTTTTTTGTAGCTCTTACAAAAGTTTCTCTTTTTGCTGTCTCTCCTGAACCCTATTCTGCCAATCATTTACACAAGATCGTCAGGTACATTACTTGCTGCTTTCCTAAATTCCTCTTGACTTCAGTATGTCTCGTGAGTGTCAACTTCTCGGAGTCCCCTTTCCTCGTTATGTGCCCCCAAAGTTTTAACTCTTTCTGATGATAAATATACATATCCTTTTTGTTTCCATTGTCCTTAACGTTGCTCACATGTTCTGTCCATGGCATTCTCAGCATTTGTTGCCTCATGTCGTCTTTCCAGAAAGGAAACTTTCCAGAATTCACTGCCAAATCGGAAGACCTATATTGCTTAACAGTTCGACACTCTTCTCTTTTCTTTCTTTGTAACGAAACTTTCGTGTTTCTTAATGTGCTTTCGCATTTCTGTGTCTCAATTCCCGTCCTTTGTTAACAATTCTTTAGAGATGTTTAAATTTCTGTACTTGCCTGATTTTGATGTCTCCAATTAGTAATTTTTATCTTAGGAGATATATATATATATATATATATATATATATATATATATAATATATATAATGAAATGGATTAAGTACGGCAATTATTTAATATATTTTAATACATACAATTTAAGTAAATGCTCTGTTTTTTTAAATATAAATGTAATTAATACTGTTTTTTTTAAATAAACAGAGCATTTACTTAAATAAATTGTATCTATTAAATGACGTATAAACAGAAAATATAGTAAACAGAAACAAACAAGGTGTATCAAAAAAACTTTTACAAACTTTGGTGACAGGTTCCTCCAACTAAAACAAGGACAAGGCTGGGGGCTGCCTTAGATCTGGAAACGAAATCTGATACAGCCGTGCAGCCTCGCGCCCAAGACCATTCGCGCGTCCGTATGTAAAAATCACATCTGCCTGCTCCTGATATGAATATCCTGCCAATGTTAAACGGACTACTACACACATTAAACGTTCAAGACAGACTAGCTACAGATGTACACGAATAACAAGTGTAACCTAGTTTACATGCCAACACGGCGCCATCTACCATAAATTTCCTTTAAACTAATAGTTGGGCTGGGTGGGGTTAGGTGGTGGTGTGAAGAAGAAATGGCTTATCTGGTCTCTCCAGCCTGGAATGGCTTACGCCTATATCACCTTAAAACACCGGTTCCTGTACGGTCACCGAAGTTAAGCAACGTAGAGCTAGGTCAGTATCTTGATAGGTAACTGCTTGGGAATAACATATGCTGTAAGCTTGGATGTGCAGGTGGTGTAATGGATAATGACTCGGAATTGTTAATTGGAGAGAAGAGTTCTAATTCCAGTCGAGTTCGTTATATTCATTTACACACATTTACTGTTAGGAAAGCTATGACTCTATCTCTCCTATCCCCAGCTATGGGTTAATTAATAAGACTTGTATCACTAAACCATTATTATCACTAAAATAAATAAAATTGCGTACAAAATATTTATATTTCAGTATTGAATAACCCATAGAGGTGTTGATATGCCGCTAAACAAAAACAACCAATCTAGAAGGACTATTCTGAATTAAAAAAAAAAAAACTGGATATGGCAACGGGAAACCACTCCACTATCTTTGCCCTCGTGGCAATTCGTAGAAAATAAAGAAATAGAATCGTTATATTCACTTACGTGCAAATACCTTTGGGAAAGGTATAAATCCACCTCCTCTTCTCCTGCTATAGGTTAATTAGTAAGACATTTTTATCAGTAAACCATTATTATCCCCCACCAAATTCTTACAAACTTAAAATATTTTCTGGCTTTGAATAACCTCCACTGGGTTGGTAAATTGTAGAAAACGAACCAATCTTGTGTGTTAAATAAATACAAGACAAATGCCTTAAATTTCCCTCGGAAGGCATGGCAACTCGTAGATAATAAATATAATCTGTGGAGAGTCATGATTGCCTACGTCCTGAATGAACATGTCGTTAAAAAATATACAGTACGAGAATGCTCACCCTTAGCTCATAATATACAGAAGGTGGCGTAATCTACGAGGGAGCGAATTCAATAATAAGCTGATTTTCTTTTTCTTTTGCATTATGTTATTCTTGAACGGTGAAACCAGAGGTCACAGAGTTTTTCAAACTGTGGGTTCTGATGCTTCAATGGGTCGCGATATAAATAAAATGGGTCGCAATAAAAAGAAAGAAAGAAAAAATACTCAAGTAAAAACAAAGTGCAGACTATAAACAACTCTAAATGTTATACAGCAATCATAAATCATCGCTAGTTTTTCATCGAGGTAATCTCGTATTTTATATATATATATATATATATATATATATATATATATATATATATTTAAGTTATGAAGAACTTGGTAATCCGTATGGGTAATCCCAAGGAGGAGCTCAATATAAATCCAGTGCTTTTATATATATATATATATATATATATAGTCTGTTCTCATTGACTTTATGTATCTTGTTTTGAGCTAAGCACAAAGGGGACTGAGTAAAAAGGCTATTTTATTACTATTGCCATTTACAACTACTTACTTGTGTGAACTCGAACTTTCCAAATTCCTAATTCAAGGATAATCTTTTTTCCATAATCTGAGAGTCACAGAGTTGTCTGATATAAAAAAAAAACTAAATAAAAACAAAAAAAAACTGTTGTTCTGAATTTGTTTATGTTAAATTAAATATTTCCTGAATCGTAAACAGGATTAAAAGTAAATTAAATCTGTCTTGTCTCCTTAAGAATAATAAAATATATATTAATAAATAAAACTATTTTTAATATAAATCTGTATTTGAATTTATTCAGATTTATTTCAGAAATACAACAGTTAGTGAACTTGAGAAGCTTATTTTCCTGAAAAACTGTTCGGTCAATGAATGCTTAATGTTTCCTGAATGAAAACGGTCAATCTCACCAACACGCGCACGCGGTTAAATAAAAGGGAAACAAGATCATTAATTAAATTAATAGTTTCTTTTGTGAAAATGTCGACTGAGATCATAAAAACAAACAGAAAGGCTTGAAGATCTACAAGACGAATGCCGGGAGACTTGATTGTATAATGAATATATTTTGTCTCAAAAACGAATGTCGATGTTTTATCAGCAAGTCCAGCAATTAAACATGGCATGCCTTATCGCAAAAGAGGAAATATATGAGAAAATCGGAAATAGGCTACATCTGCATGGACTTATCTTTGTGATGATCAGCCAAGGAAAGGTGGTGATATCGTGAGGTATTGCTGAGGCGTCTTGGGTTAGCGGTAATGATTTTGAATATCCCCGACACAATGGTCATTATCTAATAAAGGTTTTTTTAAAAGGTTTTGCTATTGCTTTCATAGATGTAGTTCTATCTATCTATCTATTTGTGTGTGTGCGTGGATTTCAATGTGTGGGTAAAGAAACAGGCCCACACGCGTTCAACTTGGGATATACACGCAGGGACGCCAGCTGCCAGTAAACTGTGTACTCACCCAGTTGATAAGTTGTTGCGGACAAGCATTTTTTTTATTCTTTCTTTCACGTTTTTCAAGGTATTTTTTTTTTTATTCTGTACTTTTCTTTTCTCTTTTATGACTCGCTGAAATTGTGCACTCGCCTTAATCGAAGAGCCCCTGACCCCCAGAGGCAAATACAATAGCTCTATTATCCTCCCTCTTCTTTGTTGAAAACACTTACTCGCTTTATCAGTCACCATTTCCGTTTACCCACGCGACACAAGCTTTTCATCCCAGATGGATACGGTATCCTATTTAAGACACAACCCCAATTAGTAAGACAATTCGACAGTGTAACTTAAAAATACACAAAAAAGAAAAATTTACAACAAAATTGCCATATATGTGTGGCACTTTTTTTTAAGTAACTTAGGCAGAAAACTCATGAGAGCGACGCCATCGTATCTTACCAAAATATAAATATACATCCCGGATTATTTTTTTTCAAATATCTCCTTTCCTAAAATAAATACTCCTTTCCCAAACCAGCTTATGACGATAATTTTATATATATATATATATATATATTATTTAAAATATAATACATAAATTAATTTCTAAATATCTAAAAAAATAAAATATATAATAATTATTTACAAAAATCAACAATTACATTTACTCACTTTCGTTTATTTGACATTAAATTACATCACTTAGCCTCCTCCATAGTTTACCTTGACTTTCAGTTAGCCTTATGTATATTTATGAGTGTTCTTAAATTTAAAAATTCTGAAAAGTTAACGACATTTTTACTTCTGTTTATAAATACTTGTTGCAAAGTTCAAAGCCTTACATTTGCCTCTATCAAGGCAAATGTAAGGCTTTGAACTTATCGGCTAAGTTTTCTTTTTGTCTTTATTCATATTGTCTTTTTACAGATATATTTTTAGTTATATCTGAACATATGTGCGCATACATTTGCACACCCAGCAGTGACAGTCTGTTTCATCCTCAAGCGCAATTTTCAGGTCATGTCCTGATGATTGCGTTTAAGTGGGAAACATTGTCGCTGCTGGGTGCCTACCTCAATGTTCACTTTATATTTACAACGCTCTAACCCATAAATATACTATACCTTAAAACTATATTTTTATCACACGCATATATATATATATATATATATATATATATATACACACACACACACACAGAGACAACTGATTGGGCCCTGTCAAGAAGGTTGATTATGGGTGTTAATTTTTTGGTTTCTACAGTCGGGTTAAGTGATGTCGTCATGGAAGAATGTTTTGCAATGATCTGATATAACATTTTGTCAAGGTATCTGGTGATAAAACACAGTGCAAGGAAAAGAGGATTCATGCCTTTCCCGAAGTTATCCGCTGTGCAAATAACTGTTACGCTCTACCTGTGGGACTCGTTTTCAGGTTATCGTTAGTCCAGTCTAGTTGACATTAACTACTGAGCACCGAGTTCTATCTATACTATTTGTGACCCTATATAAAAAACTAAGATAAATACTACTTGTTGCGCTACCTTGTACCTTCAGCTGATGCACACAGGGCCTACAAAAATAAGGTGCGTAAGAACAAAGAAAAATGCCTCCCATAAACTAAGCCAAGTATTAAGAAATAGGAAAACGGTTGAAGTGCTATGTAATATCTAATCTCCTGCATAACTGTGTATGCTGGACAATCTCCTTACAAACGAAAAAAAAAGATTTGAATTTTTCGGGGCTTTTTTACAGTAAGGTTCACCCTATACAAGGCCCGGGGCCACTCGAGGTAGTTAATGGGTAGTTTATATGGATAGGAGGGGAAGATAACGGTTATCTATAGACTGCTACTATGTAAGTGGCATAGCAGGTCCTAAAGTTCAGTGCTAGCGGAACCAAGGAATGTAGTTCATCTGAGCACTTTCCATGGAAGTGGCGATAGAGCAGTGGCAGACTCGACACACCCTACCTATGAGAGAAAGGCTGGAGGGTGGAAAATAATTCTTCAACAAAGAGTCAGGGACACTATTGAAATCTATTAAGACTTGAAAATGAGTACTGGGCATCTCCCGCCCAAATATGACAACAGTACCCCATTTTCAGCCTGATCTGGCTCTTATAAAGGTAGAGGATAGCATGTGGAATCAGATACTTACTGGTACAGGGGCCGATCATTTTACCTGCATCTTTAACTATGGATCGCATATAAGAGTTCCTCGGGTGCGAGTTTGACCTTCCAATATTCTCTCAAGGCACGCTGCCTCCTTGAGGGGACCGTTCATCGTGATTGGTGATAGTTCGGGGTCTGATCGGCGGTGATGGGATGTAAATAGTTTGGTTTTCGAGCCACTGAATGTAACCAGCCAGTTTTCACCCCCACTGGAAAGTTAGTGCTAGATCAGAAAAGAGGTCAGCTGCCAATCTCTAAAGTGACAGAATTATGGCCTACCGTTAAATGATGGAATTACCTTGCACAAAATATTTGAAGAAACAAGAATTTTTAATCAAAAAAAGATAACCGGAAATATTGGGGGCATACAACAAGGAAAGAAAGCATGAAGATTTTACACCATTTACATTATTCGGACTGTTGTCTTCATCTTTGTCGCCATATTTATTACGGTGTTTCGGCCGTTGTCCGCTCCGGCCTTCTTCAGTATCTGTATATATTTCTGAGATGAGGTATTAAGTACACTATTCACATTATTCGGACTGTTGTCTTCATCTCTGTCGCCATATTCATCACAACGTTTCGGCCGTTGTACGCTCCGGCCTTCTTCAAGTGGTTGGAATGTCGAACTG